TTTAGAAATCGAACTTTGTTTAAAGAAAATGACTACATTTTTGCATAGTAAATCCACAGTCTCTATTTACATTTTGGAGCAACTGTCTGATGGCAAGGAAAGACCTATGTTTACAACAATGGCATGTACAATAATGCATTCAAAATAAAAAATTAAATATGAAATGACTGCCCATTATAGTTTTAATCAACCCAGAGCCTCTTTGATTTGATTTCTGTTTTTTTGTTTTGGTTAGCTAATTTATTTCTGTTCTTCTTTATACTTCCCTACCATTCACTCTCCCAGAATACTCTTGAAAATACAAACATCTTTACTGCCATGTCAAAGTCACTTCAGGAATAGTGTGAAAATAAGAATTTGATAGTTTGTTTATACTGGAAACTCGGTGATGGTAAAAGCAGAAGATTTGGTGTTTGACAAATAATGAATGCATTGTAATATGATGAGTATTCCGCTGTAGTTTAGTGGAATATTACTTTTTTCCTCCTCAGTTTTACCACCACTACACATCTTAGCCAAAGTGTAAATCCTTCCTACTTGTGTTTGTCCCCCGCTTTCATGATACATGAAAGAACTTGTGCAAACAGTGAGGATTATAAAGGAGTCACTTGTTCTGTGGCCTTTGCCCATGTCCAACTGCTTCATGAAGAGTAAGAAAAAGTCATTCAAACTTCTGCACACCATACATGACTGACTACTCATAAAGCTTTAACACAGTATGTATTTATATGGTACGCACTTCGAAGAGAGTTGGGTATCTCAGTCCCCTTAACTCTTTGAATAAACACTCAAGCTAGGAACTCCAAACTTTGTCCTGCACTAGGGTTTCATCACCATTGCCACCCCCAAACTCTTAGGGCATGTCTAGACTATATCCCTCTTTTGAAAGAGGGATGTAAATTAGGCAGATCGAAAGTGCAAATGATCCTTTTTCGAAAGATCCTGTACTCCTCATTTTTGAGTTTATACTGCAGTGCTTAACTTGAAATAAGCTTCACAAATTGAGCTACATCGATTGTATATCTTATTTTGAAATAGCTTTTTTTCGAAATAGGAAGCATCTACACAGCACTTATTTCAAAATAGAGCTCTCTTCCTCTGACTTCTCTTACTCCTCATACAATGACGGTAACCGGAATTGGAGTAAGAAGTCCTCCAGCTAGAGAGTATTTTGACACTATTTTGAAATAATTGCCTGCTGTGTATACATGAACTAAGTTATTTTGAAATAGCACTAGTTATTTTGAAATAGTGTTGCAGTGTAAACATACACCTTGTGACTTCTCTGTAAATGGCAACACAACAAGATTGAAATATTTTATTATGTTAAAAGTGATCAACCAGCTCAATTTCTGAAACTAACTATTGTCTTGGAAAAGGTCTTAAAGATCACTTCTGGCTTAACTACTTCCCACAGAAAGCTTCAACACTGGAAATGTCTCATGACTAAGTACAGAGAGAACTGAGTCCATTTCAGGTCATAAGTTACTGAACTGAGTCCATATGATTGAAATGGAGCAAGTAAAACTCCCTTCAAACTGAAGTCAGTAATGCTGTGGTCTAAATTTTACCTCTTATCCTTCTTTTGATCTTGTAGAAAAAAAAAGTTAAAATTACATTTAAATGAAAGAAAGGCTACTTACCAGCAATTGTAATACCTCTGCACAGACACACTTGAAGGATGTTGGATAAAAGTAGGATGATTTGTATTTCTGGTGCTGATGAGTTTCAGGAACCTTCTAGAAAAGCAGTGCTTATTGACACTGTCTGAGCACTTCCTAATGACACTGGATGGTCAAAGCTGTTTAAAAGCACCACGTGATTCTCCAAATCCTTTGGCTTTTCCCCCCTATGTCCTAGAGTCTTATGAGCACAGAGATCCTTGGAAGACAGGAAAATGTTCCTCCTTCCTTCATAATGGAACTGAGTCCCGTGGCACAGAAACCGTCACTGAGCTCTGTCTTTGAGCATAAGTAGGATCAACACAAATGCTAGGCCCTGAGTGGACATCCAGATCTGACAAAAATTTGGTACTGATAGGTAAGTATTTGGAATGAATATTTCGGAGTGGCAAGATGAGATGAAGCACTGAGCATTCTGCCCTGGCCACAAATGCTGGTTCCTGGTGAAAGCAGGTACCATCAAAAATGGTGAGACTGACCAACTTAAATATGTCAACAAAGCAAATTAAAATCTGCAGCTGGCCCATGCTAGACAACTTGGTTTGTGGGCCTCAGGCTTTGGGAATGTTTCATTGCAGTGTAGACTTCTGGAATTGTGGGACTCTCCCATCTTTCAAAGTACTCCAGCAATGAAACAACCCTAGAATCCAAGCTGTGGTTGACTAGAATGGGTCAGCTGAGGGGTTTTAGTTTTTGTTTGTTATCCATGTAGACATACCCTTAGATGAGAGATGAAGCTCTTTTCAGTTCTGGGATAGCCTCAGAGCCAGAGAGCCCGTATGGCCACATACAGGCCAGGCACAATGGCCTACTCTGTCCCTGCAAGGAATGGAGGCCTGTCCTCAAGATGGTTAAGAAGATCTGTCTCATAAAGCCTTGTCTCAGGAAATCCTTGTGTGCGCCAGTTCTTTTGGATGTGAGGTGTAAATTAAATTAAATTAAATTAATGGAGATTGCCTATTTCCTAGAACTGGAAGGGACCTTGAAGGTCATTGAGTCCAATCCCCTGCCTTCACAGCAAGACCAAGTACCACCCCTGACAAATTTTTGCCCCAAATTGCTAAATGGCCTCTGCAAGGATTGAACTCACAACTCTAGGTTTAGCAGGCCAATGCTCAAACCACTGAGCTATCCCTCCCCCATAAGTGTAAAGGCTTGACATGCCAAAAAACAATCCCATAAATAGTTCTCCCCAAGGAAATATCCATAGCAAAGTGGCATGAGATACAGCATTCAAGAATATTCTTTATTTTTGATGGTCTTTGGGGTTGGATGAGGTATGATACCATGATACTGAAATTCAAGAATCCAGGAATCTAACTACACAATAATGAAGAAATGAAATAAATATTCTTTCTGAAGATACCCCAAACAGTCTAAACAATAATAAAACTACTAATGCTGTCAAACACTAACAACACAGGGAAGTCTGGTAAAAAAAAAATCAAACCAAAATTCTATGCATAGAGCCTATATCTGCAGCTACCTGGAGAAAGAAAGGAACTGAGTTAGTTGGGGACTATACAGGTCAAATGCAAATGTCTGGTGCTGCCGACTGGAGGCTTATGCAGTCCAATAAGCACTGCATTTCTAGAAAGTTCTTGATGCTCACTCTGCCACAGAGGACTGCATTCTTCAAGTGGGAATATGCAGGGCTACTTTGAAGAGAAATACTAGACCATCTTCCCTAGTCATGTGGTAATTTATGTATAGAATGGGGAAAAAAAGGCAAGAAGCATACAACACCATCTCTCAAAACCAGTGGTAACAAAAGGCAGTCATGGCAAAATAGCAGTGACAAAATAAAGCTCATAACATAAGGATGTGCACCCTTTTGGGGACTTTAAAATAAATCTATTGCCCTTGCTGTCAAGAGTCTGGGTACCTAATAAGTCACAGGCTAAATGCATAGATTGCATACATGTTTATTTTAAAAAAAAAACAGTAAATGCTGAAAATAAGAAAATGCCCTACACTAATGACTAGAAGTGAAGGTGGGGGGGAATGGCAAAAAACCCAAAGCTAACAGGGAAAACAACCAAAAATTGATCTCTAGAAACCAATCTAAAAACGAGCACTCAATCAAGCAGACAATACAACACTCAAATATGAGAACAATACAAGAATTCCTCCCATCCCAACAGCGGACAATAAAAATACAAAGTAAATGGGGGAAGGGAGGGACAACTGAAATAGAGACACCAAACTAGTGCAAAGGGGAAATGCTACTAAATTAATTACTAACACTCACTACCATCACTATATCCCATCACTCTCACACACAGAGACAGACACTGGAAAAATTCTAGATGCAAATAAACAAAGAAAATAATGAATTAAAAGCACACCAAATAGCCCATCAGAAATTGAGAGGTTCATTGGATGAACAACTGAGGTAGGGCGAGCTAAATATCAGGAGGGAAAACTAAAGAAGGAATCGTATGTCTGACTGTGAATTCTGACTTTACAAGCTGTGCTTCATAGATGTCTCTGAAGAACTGCACAGGGCTGACAAGCCTCAAGTACAGAATCCTTTGAACAACACAATGATTAAAACATCTACAACGCATCTATTGGGAATATTACACATTACAGGTGGGAGGGAACTCTATCCTGACGTTAATGTTCCTACAACACCAAGGTGACAACAGTTAATGAATGTTAAATTTGTGCCATGGTCAGTTTTTTCCCTTCTCTAAAAAAATAAAAAAATATATATCTTTGGGAGGTAGTACCCTGAAAAAGTATTGCAACACACAGAATATAGACAAAGACACCAATGCTACATCAGGATTCATTAGCATGGACCCCTGAGCTCAAACAGAATTCCATAGAATATAACGGGATGTACACAGGGCATCAGATAATCTCAATGCAGAATCCCAGTGCAGAAACTGAGCCTTAGTGAATTATACTAGCTCAACCAACATCTGGTGACACCTCAGTTTTACTCAGCTAAACACAATGTTCAAATCCTGTTGGAGTCGAATAATTATCTTTTATAGAGTTCACATAATATAAATTAGGTTTTCAAGGAATACTTCATGTATAATAAATGTTTTCATAATAATAATACAACTGACTGTGTGGAAAAATTATGAGTATGTGATTGTTCATGCCACTTGACTTAGGTTGGTTTTTTTTAATACATTTGTTTGGAAACATTTAAAAAAAAACTGTTACAAAGAACAGCTAAGGTTTATTCCCTTTCCCTTTTTGCATCACTATATTACAATTATGGAAACAAAGAAGGGAAAAAATTTACATTACTGAAGTATGTTTGAACCTTTGGCATGAAATGGCCCTTGTGTAACTCACCTTGATCTCTTTCATGCCATGTCCGACTCCCAGCAGCTGGTGAATTTGGAGAGGGATAAAAGTCTCCAGTTGGGCTTGGTTCCATATTTTCATCTATGGAGATAGTTTTGGGTCTTTTGCTGTTGAAATAACAAAGGTATTGTTATTAATACTACATGCAGTTAGCACTGGTACTGCAGAGCGTATAAGGATTTAAACAGTTTTTTCAACACTGAGAGCAATTAAAAGAAAAACCACAAAAATAAATGTTAAGCCTAACCTCAAGCATAGGTCACACAGGTGTGTTCTCAAACAATGGTATGTGCATTGTACATAAATATTTACATCACATAGTTGGCATGTGTGCATAATACACCAAAAATCCCCTCAGGGGAGAATTTTCATTGTCTACACATTTTAAGACTGGTGACATTTAAGACCATGGCCACACAATCAAAACCTGCAGCCTGCTGGAAAAGCATCACATCACTAGATTATTACATTCATTCAATACATAATTCATTTAAGACAAAGAAGAGTGTTTCTGCATCCCAGATAAGGTCAGCCAGGTAACACTTCAACTGCTTAGACTATAGGTTGAACCTCTCTAGTCAGGCATTCTCTGGTCCAGCATGATTTTAGTTAGCCGTATATCCACTTATCATGGGCATGGCCAAGTTTCCTGAGGTTCCATAAAGTTTGTTTATAGACACCAGTTCCGGCTCTCAGTGTTCTGTGTTGTTATATACCTCTAATTTACCCCTAAAAGTCTTCTAAGAACCCAGTAAGCAGTGGAAGTGTGTGTAATGTTGCTGGACAATATTGACCTCCCATGATCTAGCAATTTCTCTGGTCTGGCATTGAACGGTGTAGGGCCAGAGAGGTTCAACCTGCAGAAGGAAAGCTTATTATGCCCACCTCAGTAGACCAGAGTAATGAGTTATTTTTCAAAGCAGCCTGACCTGAAACACAGTCTCTTCATTTTCCATTAGTTTAATTTACAATGAAAGGTCTGCATTTCAAACTCCATCATTCAGGCTGATATACTTCACTACAATCTTGTAAGAGAAATGCAAGTTTCATTGTGAAACTTCTCAGCCACTGACAGAACAAGCAGATTTCTAAAGGAAGATGGAGAACCAGGCATGAAGGTTTTAACAATATATTGACAATACCATGAGGATGAATTTATACCTTTTAATTGAAAAGGTGAACTGATATGTACACGAAACCCCCCACAAATAGTCCCATTATGACTTTGTTAATAATAACTTTGCTAGATAATTATTTCAAAAACTCTGAAATAACACATGCGTCCTTGGTTCATCGATGATGCATCACTTTGTGGCACCACAGACATGCAGGCCAGTGTACCAGTGATAATATAGGATGCATCATTACAGGAAAGATTCAGCAAGCCAAGATATTCCAGTAAGGAAAAAGCAAAACTCATGAGTTTCCTGAAGCCAGAACATGAGCCCAAGTTTCCTAGGCAAGCAGACTCTCTAGTCATGCATTTCACCCCTCTGTGATGCTCTCTGCCCCTCCTAAGACCATGTAGACAGAGCTTCACAGAGTCGGAGTCCACAGAAATGGAGAGAAGTAGGCCAGAGTGAGCTGAGGAAGGTGGCCCCACTTATCATCCCTTCACTAGCCTCGTGGAAATTTCCTAGAAAGATAATAGAGTTGCCTATATTACACGTACCACCAATTCCATTTCTGCACCAGGGAACTCCCTCCACTTAAGAGGAGGTTCTGAATGGGAATGTCAGGATGATGCTTACTGGGTAATGGTTAACCTGTAACGGGGAGCAGCCACTTGTTTGTGTCGTCCCCTACTCCAACCCAGGCTGGAGCATCCCTAGGCCATGACGTGAGGAAGTGCCCATCCCCCTTTAATCAGTTAACTGGTTAACCAATTAAATGGGCTTTTACAACCCTAGTCCTGGAGGAAGCTAGAGTCAGAGCCTTGCTGTGGTTCACCCTGGCTCCCTCTAGAGTTCTGTGTACACTATGCCTACTCCACCGGAAACAATCCCTCCCCTGTTATAACACCCAGAGGAACTCCCAGAAGAAACATTCAAATAGTTATAATTACTCTTTGTATGCTCCTTCAGGATGTGGCGATTTGGCTTTTGATGTTTCATGTCTCCACAATTAAATTTACATATAACGTGGCTGATGTTTCTTTCTCCCCTCCCCACTTCCCCAGGCTATGCCTGACTGAGGAGGCCAACAGTCCCTTTACTGGGAAAATTATCAGTAAGCACCTTCTCAGTCTGGGTATGTCTACATGTCTACCCTAGTTCGAACTTGGGGGGGGTTAATGTAGTCAATCGAAGTTGCAAATGAAGCCCGGGATTTAAATATCCCGGGCTTCATTTGCATCTTGCCGGGCGCCGCCATTTTTAAATCCCCGGTAGTTCAGACTCCGTGCCCGCGGCTACACGCGGCACGGAGTAGGTAGTTCGAATGAGGCTTTCTAATTCGAACTACCATTACTCCTCGTGGAACGAGGTGTAACGGTAGTTCGAATTAGAAAGCCTCATTCGAACTACCTACTCCGTGTCGCATGTAGCCGCGGGCACGGAGTCTGAACTACCGGGGATTTAAAAATGGCGGCGCCCGGCAAGATGCAAATGAAGCCCAGGGTATTTAAATCCCGGGCTTCATTTGCAACTTAGATTGACTACATTAACCACCCTAATTCGAACTAGGGTGGTAGTGTAGACATACCCTCAGTGAAAATTCTAGAGCATTCAGGTTTTTCCCCACAGAAGTGTCTTAGATTATTTTCTAAACTGGCAGAAATCTAACTGGCAAGTGAGATAATTTATAATTTTACCAATAAGAGAAGCAAAAGGTGGGTCTCAGCACACTTTTGAAGGGATGCAGAATGTGAGAAAAGGTAGCGATGTTTAAAAGCTGAACTTATCTACAGAGCTAGAAATGTTCTGCCTGAGTCAGTCAGTAGTGTTAAATGCTCCCCTTCTTCTTGCAAGTGTAAAATCTCTCCCTCTCTTTAACTGAACAGGTGAAGAATTCATTGCTGTTATTCCAATAGACCACTAGAATTTGGCTTCCTCTATTAGACCACTAATAAATGGTTTCCAAAACTGTAGAGAACTAAGATATGTAACATCAGTGCTAGTGGCACACAACTCTCTCAAACTTCCCGTTTACAGGAAGATAGTCTTACTCCAGGAATCTATTATCTACATATAATTTATAAAAAAAATATATACCTACTCAAATTTATAAAAGCAACAAGAAATCAGGAAAATTACACTTTCTTTACAGTACTACTGAATTGCTTTTCCTACATCAGCAATCCCGACTTCACATAACCTGATAACCAGTATTTTTGCCAAATACCAATATTTACTCTTTTAAAAATATATTTACCTGCTTGGTGGGGAGGACAGTGACCTCTGTAGATTTACACCCGAATTCATATCATGGTAGTATGGCTGGCTTGGAAGCTCTCCAATCGGGAAGTTTACTCCAGTTCCCTGGGTAATAGGCGCTGAAGAATATATAAAGAGTCAAAACTAATCTCTAAATTTTTTACCACCCTTTCAATTTTAACATTAAAAGATCTTGCAATTATAAAATATAACCAGTTTTCTGTCTATTGAGAAAATTAAATATAGTCAAGTTCTGCTAACATTTACATACCTGAAAAAAATTAAGCTATGTGCTTCCTCCACTACCCTCTCCCTAAATCTCTGAATATATGTTTTATAATAGATAATGTAGAAATCATGAATGGGAAACACTGACAAAGATTGAAAAACAAAATTGTACATGTTGTAAAATGGCATGAACACCCCCCTCCCCTCCCCATTTCTGCCAGAAGTAGCCTTTTATGGAGAGAGTATTGAACTGGTCAAGTTGTCTTTCACTTAGGAAACAGATATTTTCTTTATGCACACAGACATTGTTTTCTTTACCCTTGTGCACTGTCTGTGCATTTTAATTTATATGAAAGTTCGAATTTATCTATTGGTTAAAGTTTACTTCTTCTCTTGTGTTTGTTTAACCTCAAGCCACAAAAGAAGTCCCACAGAAACCACATACTTTTAAAACTTATTATTAGAAGGGCATTACATGTAACACTGTGAACCAGAGGATTTGCCTCCATAAGGCAACAACATAATCTTGATATTTTTAGATATGACCAAATGATTAGAAGTATGTGTGCCTAAGCTGCTCAGACAACACATCTCATGAGCATGTGAAACTTGTGTTTCAATATACAAATCCCCAATTTTAGAAAGAGAACTCAGTGTTGCAAATGCTTAACTTGGACCGGCATAAAAAGTGTATGTGCCTTAATACACAGGGAATAAAGTGCAATCAAACACACATGTATGACTCTTATTTTAATAACAAATGATGTCAGTGGAAGTTATGCACATAATTTGGCCCCAAAACTCAGTGGTAAGATAAATAATGAGCAGGTTTTTTGAACATATTCCATGCACGCATTATTTCATATTAGTCTTTTGGTGGGATACTGCCATTGATTTTAAATTAGTTAGTCTTGATTTATAGAGATGTGAAATCAGAATCAGATCCTTATCTTTGTTAACTAATTACAATTTGTAGGGTGTTCTGTCCTAGCATGAACTAGCAAAAGCTTATAGGATAGTCGACTAGTTCCTCAATTAGTTGCTTCCCCTGCAATTCCCCCTTGCTGCCTCCATCAGAGCTGCAGTGGGGTTAGCGCCCAAGGCTGGGAGCTAACCCCACTGCAGCTGCCCCACTTATCGACTAATTGACTAGTTGAAATTTAACATCCCCAACTAGCTCTCATATAAAACTCTCCAGCAGTTAGTTTTGGGGCAGAGGTGGGCAATAAAAAAGCAACAGCCCACCAGGGTTAGTCCCCGGCGGGCCCCCTCCACTATGTTTACCTGTGCTTTTGAATATATTGGACAATCGCAACTCTCATTGGCCGTGAATTATCTTTTTTGGCAATGTGAGCCACCTGTGGGAAGCAGCATGGACCACCGCTCTCATTGGCCACAAACAGCGATTCGCAGCCAACAAGAGCTGCAATCATCCGATACCTGCAAAAGCGCAGGTAAACGTAGTGGTGGGGACCCGCCGGGGAGTAACCCTGTAAACTGAATCTGGCCCGTGAGCTGAATTTGCCCGCCCCTTTTGGGGAGAGTCACTTTTAACTGTTGTTGTCCCAGAATCCTCATCTAGAGTATAGAAAATATTGTCTGGCACATTCAACCATTGTTATTTTTTTAAAATTCCTTATTCATCCTGTTGTTTCCAAACAAGTTCTGAATTAATATTTTTATTCACGTCTTTCAAAATGAAGTTTTAAACAGAAAGAAATGAACAGCATTTTCATTAAATACAAGAAGAAAAACAGAAGTAAATAAAAACAATATGTGGATTAGAGATTATTGGTACTCCATATTAATATTTTCTATGAATTTGTGTGTACATGTATGTGTGAGTGAGAGAGAGAGAGAGACACCACTCTGGTCTACATTCAATTAGTTATACTCCCCATTCTTGCTATGGTGTATCTGTCCTTTAAGTTCATGAGACTGGAGCAAAGTAAAAGAAAAAAGACATCTCATGGTTTAGCAGAATTCCAAACATGTACAGAGGATAAAATGTTGTGAAAAAGTTGCAAGTGCATGAAAGAAGTTATTTCATTATGTATGGAATTTTATTGACATAACATTATTGATCCATGCACAGCAAACAATTTAACTTCTTAATAAGATGTTTGATTCAGAATTTGAAAAAAAAAACAAAGAAAGCCTTTTACCTATTTTATTATAAATCCATGCAAGATGTACTGTGACACCATAGAGCCCAAAGCAAACTCCATTAAAGTCAAAGGAAAGCCTTCAACTGACCTCAGTGGACTTTGGATCAGGCTTTTAGTATGCTACATCATTAAATACAGTTTGTTAACTTACTTCTGGATACTCTCACAAGTTCTGACACATTGAAGACTCCAGATTTTACAAAACTATCCTCAAGGTACCCTGAAAAAGATCATAATACGGTTGTCAACTAATTTAGAAAGACAAAAACATATACACCATTTAGTGGCAGAACCAACAAAGAAAAGTTGAAAAATTATGCCAAAACATGACACGTTTTCACAGGATGGGAGAAGAGTTGAAATACTGACTGCTGCATGCAAAATTGAGATTCCATAGGAAAATAATTTCCTCAACATAGAAATTATTAAGCAATATATTGAAATTATACTTAATCAACTAGGAAAAATTTATAACAACTTCATTTATGGGTTTGGTCACAGAGATTCTCTTGGGACTATCACTTGATATGCTGAAAAATACCATT